AGTTGGAATCACCCCCCCCCCCTAAAAATGGCTTGTAAATTCAATCAAATGTAGCTAATCACCTTCTCAATGGCACACAAAGCCATTTGACTTTCAACTGTGATCAGCTGATCAAAATGTGATTCAGACTTCGCTGGCAGTCAAAAGTGCGACTACACATCTCTCGTCACATTATCTCTGGTTATCACGTACTGTATTTCATCATTCTGATTGTGAGCTCATCTACTAAACAAAATCAACCCAATAAACATACAGTCTGTCTGAGCACACAGATCCAGACATCCTCCTCAATAAAACACTTAATGTTACCTGCTGTTACCAGGATGTTGCACTGAGCATCCATGATCCTCTCGCACAGAGACTCAGACGAGAAACCTGCAAACTGAATGAGGAAGACAGGAGAGAGTTAGATGCTTCTGCATCTGCTTTCATCTTTATTTATCAAGATAAATTATATGGATATCTGAGGTTCCAAAACAAATGATCAGAATAACAGTCTGGCTGAAATGGGGTCATCACACAAACATAAAAATAGGCTTTGATATCAGATATAAAGTACCCTTGAAAGCACTTCAGTGCTATTTTTAACTCTGTCTACAACCTTTACATGGCTAAAGAGGCTTGGCGGGCAGAAATAGTCCTAGCAGTGTAAATGAGGCTACACTCATTTCATGCATATTAATGATACCGTGCTAAATACTGACCCGAGTTTAAACTCTCCATCTGATCATCCTTAACAGATGATCGAGCTTAAAGAAAAGGTCACCCAAAACTGAAAATTTGCTGAAAATTTACTCACCCTCAGTCCATCCAAGATGTAGATGAGTTTGTTTCTTCATCAGAACAGATTTGGAGAAATGTAGCATTGCATCACTTGCTCAGCAATGGATGCTCTGCAGTGAATGGGTGCCGTCAGAATGAGAGTCCAAACAGCTGCTAAAAACATCACAAAAATCCACAAGTAATCCACACCACTCCAGTCCATCAATTAATGTCTTGTGATGTGGAAAGCTGCGTGTTTGTATGAAACAAGTCCATCATTATGATGTTTTTAACTTCAAACCATCGCTTTGGCCAAAATATGAGTCCATAATCCATAACGTATCCTTCAGTGAAAAAGTCCATCTCCTGTTGTCTCTCACATCAAAATCCACACACGTATTTGTTTAGAGCAGTTTTGGACTGTTTTCACTTGTAAACGGTACTTGATCTGTGCAGATTTCTCTCATAATTTGAGATACATTATTAAAGATAATTCAAGAATATTATGGATAGAGGGCTCGTATTTTAGCCAGAAGCAATGCTTTGTTAAAATGTCCTAACACGCAGCTTTTTGCTTCACGAGACATTAACTGATGGACTGGAGTGGTGTGGATTACTTGTGGATTATTGTGATGTTTTTATCAGCTGTTTGGTCTCTCATTCTGACGGCACCCATTCACTGCAGAGCATCCATTGGTGAGCAAGTGATGCAATGCTACATTTCTCCAGATCTGATGAAGAAACAAACTCATCCTAATCTTGGATGGCTTGAGGGTGAGGATATTTTCAGCAATTTTTTGGATGAACTATTCCTAAACCCAAAATATTGCTTTAATGTAAAACTATACTACAGATCTGTAAAGCTGCTCACCACTATCGAGTGAACAGCCCCGATTCTTGCACAGGCCAGCATGGTATACACCAGCTCTGGAATCATGGGTAAGTAGATGGCAACTCTGTCTCCATTCTTCACACCTGGATCACAGAAAGAAATATTGTTGTAAATCTGAAAGCATTAATGAAAATACTCACACAAGGATGTCAGAGGTTCAGAATGAACACACTAATATTGCATTTGCATTCCAGAAAATCTGAGCAAACTCAAACCCAGAGGAGGAGGATGGTCTTACCCAACAGCTTCAATGCATTGGCACATCGGCACACGTTTCTCAACAGCTGGTTGTAGGTGATGGTCTGGTGATGATTAGGTGAGTTTCCCTCCCTGCAGAAAAAATTGATCAATATTAAACCATTAGGAAATAATGGATTCATGGACTTCATTATGCAATACAGTGTGCTGGCCTTTTGAACATACTTTATCAGACACATTAGGCACATAAATACACTATTTAATCTGTGTTTCAAATGATTTTGCAATTCCAAAAAGTCTGAGACCGACTGTGAAAATTCTTCTATTTTGCATTTAATAGGTCATGACAAATTATATTATCAGCAATTTGAGTGCAAAGTTGAATGCAGTGTTGTCATTGTTAACTAAAACTATCAAGAACGGTTTTCATTAATCGAAATAAATCTGAAATCAAATAAAACAAATATTAGATGAATAGCTTGCACTTAAAAACCTCAAATGAAAATGTTGCATCAGCAAATAAATGAAATAAATTAGATTACGTACTAAAATGACTTTTATAGTCATTTTACTTTTATATAATATTACTAATATTAATAGTAATATTATATATATTATCACTATGTATAATGATATTAAACAAACAGAAATATTAAAGAACAAAAACTGATAAAAATGACAAAAGTGCAAAACAAAATTCCACTGAAAATTTAAAACATTTTAAATATTTCAATATGAATTCAATAATAATTCAAAATATTAATAAGTGCTATAATAGTATATAAGGAATACTAAAATAGTACTGTTTGGGGAAAAAAAGAAACCTTTTTTAACAAATACACGATTTAACTTTTTTTTTAACAATAGAATTATTTACTCGAAAAAGCTTCTTGTGCTTTAATGGAAGCAAACAATCTCAGATTGAATGAGTCACATGATCAGCGACACTAATTCACTCACATGTGAATCGTCATTTAGAAATAATGCAGGGTATGAAACAATTCTTCTTCGTTTTATGCCATAATATTCATTTGTTGTTTTCAACCCTAAAACTGTTTATTCCCACACTGAATTTAGACTTTGATTGTCAGTGTGGTCTCAGACTTTTGGACCCCACTGTACGCATCTCAGTTTTACAGGAATAGGGCTGTACTTTGGCTCTGCTGCCTGCATTAGATCTGAATGTCCGTCAGCTGTTCGTCTGGCCAGTGGGCTTCATTTATTGAACAAGTCAATTCAGCAGATTGTAATATGGCAACATGCCTTGTTAAACTACACTTTAGACTTAGATTTTTACATTTTCTGAAGACAATGTGCTTGTTTGTGCAAAAGTTGCTGCTTTTAGGTTTGTAGCTGGTGTGCAAATTCACGCAACACAGGGAACATTGTGACAGTGCAGATCACCATGAAAGCTTTCAGCCTCGGTTTACTGTCAAAGTCCCTGTGCAACTGCACCTGGCCGTCCAAAAAAGGAAAGATCGTGATGGACCATTGACAGGATGAACAGTTTTCAAGCTAAGCGACCCCTTAGGTATGAATGGATGGCAGCATAAAGAATAGATGCTGACCTCTGAGGTTGCACATTGCATCATATTTTGTATTTCATAACAAAGGCCCCATATGTTTGAGTATATGTAGTGTTCATATTGCTTTTAAGAGCCTGTGTGAAATCCTCTGTCCTCCATTAGCACTTGATGGTTAATGTCTAACTGTTTCATTTTTGATCATTAATATGCATTGCTAAGAACTTCATTTGGACAACTTTAAAGGCGATTTTTTTAAATTATTTTTTTTGCACCCTCAGATTCCAGATTTTCAAACAGTTGTACCTCGGCCAAATATTGTCCTATCCTAACAAACCATACATCAATGGAAAGCTTATTTATTCAGCTTTCAGATGATGTATAAATCTCAATTTCAAAAAATTGACCCTTATGACTGGTTTTGTGGTCCAGGGTCACATATGTGCTCTGTTCTCTGTGTTGCATTGTGTTTTTGGTTTGGCCCCGTTTGACCTAGTTGATAAAATTGTTTAAATTTTTTGACTGTTACATTAATGAGAATACATTAAGAATAATGGAAATTGCAAAGAAAAGAGCTAAATTGCCATGAAAACAATGATAAGAATGTTAATGCTCCTAAAAATGCGTAATATTAAAAAATGCACAATATGTATAATACTATGCAAATATGTGTAATAATAAAATACGCACAATACACTTTCTTATTTCTTCACAAATTTGGGGTGAAATATGACCCACTCTGTTAAATGGCGATGTCATGCAGATGATTGATTTGACTTCAGTGGTTCTTTATATAACAGCAGTTACATGACACCCCTTGTTCCACAAGACTATTAATACTTCAGAGCATAGCTAACATGACAACAATGATTATTCTGAGTGTTGCTGAAGTATGTCACCCGCATACAGTATGACATCAAGCCAATATTATATCACTTCGGTTAATATTGGAAAGAGAGATAGAGTTGTTCCTGAGAAATCAAACTGGAATTAACATTTGTATGACTTCTCATGTGTCATTCATGCAATTCTTACAGGAACCATCTTATCACAGTTTACAGTATGCAATCAAAGTCTTATGTGATAGTTGATGTCAAATGTAGGTGACATGGTTCAATAACACTCATAATAATCATTATGCCCTGCCTCGTCTGTCTAGATTAGAAGAACAGGAGCTTCTGCCAAGCCCTACAAGTAAATACTTATAAAATCATATTTTCAACATTAAAAGTACAGATTGAACCTTGCACAAATGCATTAACGCAAAGCAATTTAGACTTTAGAGTATTTAGAATTAGTATTTAATTATATTAAATTATTTCTAATTATATTATATTTGTAATGATAAATAATTGTATATATTTATGACCTTGTTGCAACGTGTTTTCAACTTTTTTAAACTAAAAATACATACACACACACACTGGTATATTATTAGTAATATTATATATATAATATTACTAGTAATGTTAGTATAATATTAATATTACCATATATAATAATATTAAACAAATAGACATAAAAACAGAACTCATACAGATGATAAAAGTGCATAACAAACTTACTAAAACTTATGATTTAACATGTATTTGAGAATGTCTCAGCATTTGTCACCTTTTTTTAATAAATTTTTTTAGCAAATTCTTTATATTTGCTACTTAGGCTTTTCTTTTGCTTTGACCTTGACACAAGCAGCAGGCCTCAAATGCATCAACTATTAAATAAGATCATGCATGCATTATATGCAGTTGTAGTTATGTGCATCATTTCAGCACAGTGAAAACATGTTAGATTACCAGTAGTAAGCCACTTTCTCTCCCAGGTTCCTCTCATGCACATTTCGGTCAAGGACGTTGTAGCAGATGTTGGTTTTTGCTCCCTCCATGAACTTGATGTAAATGTTCCCCTTGTTGACATCAAAGTTATACTGCAGCATCTGGCCTGATGGAGGCTTCTTCCAGTAAAACTCTTGAGCAACATCAGCCCAGAACTCTGCAATGCATGTTAAATGAACATGTTTACTGCATCTTTCATTGGAGTGTCCCTCTCATTTATATGCATGCACCGTTTTATGATACCTTCAGGCTCCTCTGTAGACTTTTTGTATATGGCAAGGTATGCATCAAAGTCTGGCACGTGTGCATCAGTGAACAGGCCGTCGGATGGATGGTAGGTCTTCTCCGGCTCCTGAGGTCCTGGAATGACCCTGTTGGTGGAGTCTGAAACAGGAGACATCCGTCAATCCGTATGTTGTGTGTCAGGATAGATGTCAGTCAGTAGATGAAGCAGTTTATTGTGGCTGTGCATGTGGTGCCCACCCTTTAATCATGCCCAGTCTGCTCAGCACCGCCTCCACCAATCAGAGCGCTCCATTCAGCACTCCTACTTTTCCATTGGCTGAGCAGCTGCTCGGCTGCTGATCCCACTGCTGAGGGAGGCGCAGCACGAGTCTGACGGATGATCTGCGTGCTTTCTGAAACGCACGCACGCACACACACATAAGGTTTACTTGACGGTCATAATGAGGACATATCATTGATTTCATATAAGGCTAGTTGTAATGACACACACGAACCCTACAAGAAGACATTTTAGGGGGGGAAAAAGTTATTACTCATGAATAATTTTTTACAATTTTAATTGAAGAAATGAAAATAATAAAGACACCCATACACTAAACCTAAATGAAGACTTATTGCAGACTTATTTTTGACTAAAATAATTTATTTACTTGTGAATTATACTTGAAGAAATTAAAGAAAATAAATGACGACGAGGACACCAAACTAACACACACACACACAAACCATAAAACACGTATAAATAAATAAATATTTGGTTAAATAAATGAAGTCTTTGTGATTTTCATGACTCATCCACCCTCTATCCTAACTCTGGATTCTCCTGCCCACTCATGGAATTGGAATTTATGCCTACGCTGTGATTTCCTGGAAAAGTAGCCAGTTTCATTGACAAAGCAACGCTCATTTGCTGAACTTTCAAAACAAAGGAATTTCTACTAGACCAAAAACTAGTAGAACATATGCACAAATACTTAATTACAAATCTAGTACCTCAATAAGTATTATATTATATTGATTCTCTGCTATTGTATTTGGAAAGCACAACAATTTATTTTATGTATTTTTATTCGAAATAAACCCCAAATGTTAAACAGAACAATATTTAGTTACAGTCTTGCATGACCAACCGTTTTAGCATTTAAGCTCAAGTTCTCCAAGTGTGCATGCTGATTGTCTTGTGCTATTTTTATCATGGCATGTCAAGAACACAAAAAAATGTGCATCTGTATTTTCGTCTGCCGCTCGGTGATCCATTATACAGACTCAGCCCTAGAGCGTCCCTTGCGTAACCAGACCCGCTCAATCGAGCTCGCGTTACTTGATGTCCGCCATTGCTTGTGTTTAGTGTGACCGAGCGCATTGAGAAGATGTTTTTCTCTTCAACTCTGCCCTCTGCCGTGTCTAATGCGGTAGGTTTATTTTGTATGTGTTGTAATCGGATTATTCATGAGGTGGCTGAAGGAATTGCATATGAATTATCATTTAAAGCGGCGTTGACATCTGTGCAAGGACATGAAGCTAATGCGCTAACAGCTAATAATGAGACCTGATTGTGTTTATATAGACACTCTTTAAAACTGTGATGTATTTGAATAATTTATCATACAAAAATGATATTTTTTAGAAGTTGTTTCTATTCACCCAGACAGGTTGAATAATCAGTAAATTAACCTGATTCAGTAAATAAATGTATAAATATATATATATATATATATATATATATAACGCAAATATATTGTGTGAGAGAGAGAAATTTCTATTTTGAATAAATGCTGTTCTTTTGAACTTTTTATTAATCAAAGAATCCTGAAAAAAGTATCACAGCTACCAAAAAATATTAAGCAGCAAAACTGTTTAAAAAAAGCATTTAATTATGATTTCTGAAGGATCATGTGACACTGAAGACTGGAGTAATGATGCTGAAAATTCAGCTTTGCATCACAGAAATAAATTATATTTTCAATTATATTAAAATAAAAAAAACATTATTTTAAATTGCAATAATATTTCACAATATTACAGTTTTTTCTGTATTTCTGATCAAATAAATGCAGCCTTGATGAGCAGAATAGACTTCTTTAAAAAACATTACAAATCTTACTGATCCCAAACTTTTGAACAGCAGTGTATACATTGCAGTGACTAATGCAGCATACACTATAAACTGTATACCCTAAACAGAAAGCATTATAGAGCATAAGCACTGCATACTTAGTGCACAAGATATTATATTGCATATTTGGTCAGTACATACAATATACAAAAAGGAATGTATTGGTTTAGCAGTTTGAAAAAATAAATAAAAATAATTCTATTCTACACTTGTTGCATTTCTTCTGCAGGCGAGGCAAGTCCGCAGTTTGCACCAGACATCGGCTCGAGCTGGAGCAGGAGGAATCTTTGTGGTGAGACTTGACTTTTCATGTTTATTGCAGCCTATTGCACTGATATGCACGAGACACTTCATATTCAGTAATATTATCAGCGTGACTGCACTGATGAGAACAAAACTGAGCTGAATAATTACACTATTGTTTTCTGTAGAGCTGTTTTATAGCTGAGTTTGTTTCATAATTGGCAAACTCTGCAGCGTTTACACTTGACTTGAGCTGAATTACTACACTATTGACTTTTTATAGTTAGATTAAGCTTGTTTCATAAACTTTACTCCGTTATTGAACTGAAATTAAGCAACACTGAACTGATATGAGTTGATAATGACACTGTTGTATTTTCAGAGCTGCTTTACACCTGAAATAGTTTTTGTTTTATAATTGAAGAACTTTGCAACAATAACGCCCCATTCACACGGGGCGTCAGCGTCAACGCCTCTCGTTTACTTTGAATGGAGTGACATCAAGCGTTAGCCAATCAGATCACCTTATGCAAATACCCTAGCACAGACGCTAGCCAATCAGCGTTCATGCAACACCAGAAGACTAACTAGCATTAACGCTGACGCCCCGTGTGAATGGGGCGTAATACTGTGATGCTGCTGTAAACATCTGTGTTGTATAAAGAGCACATACACACCCTAAACCAGAAGCACACACTATTATAAAGCTCATATTTATAGCATTTTTTGATGTTGATGAGTTGGTCTGTTTTCATTATTCCAGCACAGAGACACACCAGCCAACAACCCAGAGACTCCATTTGAATTCACCCCAGAAAATATGAAGGTGAGGGAAATCTATCGCCTATTATTTTAATTTTTGATATAATAAGTAATCATATTTAAGGAATTTTTGCTGTTATTGTACTATTTTACGTCTGTATTCCACAGGTAAGATCAAATATGTCTGGCTGTGGTCAGATATGTTGAATAAAGATTATAGCTGTGTGTTTGTTATTTACGGTCTGAAACAGAGAGTTGATGCCATCATGAATAATTACCCAGAGGGGCACAAGGCGGCCGCCACTATTCCTGTGCTGGATTTGGCTCAGAGGCAGCATGGATGGCTTCCTATTTCAGCAATGAACAAGGTGAGAGGCTCCTAAGACATGCACATGCAGTGATTTTAAATGATTTAATAGTGTATATACATTTATTTGAGTTATTCCATTAGCTACGAGCAGTATTATTTTAGTGTCATTGATATACTGTTGTAGTTTTTGTTAATGTTTTTGTATTTTCACTTATTTTTAAAGTTTTAGTAATTTTATTGTTTTTGTGATTTTTATTAGTTTTTAGATTTAGTCTCGTTTAGTTCGTTTTAAATGTCTATATAGATTTTATTAATTTTATTCATTAGTTTTAGTTCTTTTGGTTTTAGCAAAATTAAAATGAGAAATGTTTTTTTTAAGTTTGAAATACTTTATTTCAGTTAATGCTTATTTTATTTCAAGTAATGTATTTCAAGTTTGTTTATTTTTATTTTTTTACTGTATTAACCCTCAGTTTTTATCCAGTAATTACAAATTCATTGACAAAGTCATTACAATTTATTGGTCAAAAATTGTGTGGAACCCTGTTAATAATCATAGTTAAAATGTGGAAAATTCCATAAAACTGACATGCACATTTTAATTTTAATTGATACTATCTGTTTTTATTTCATAAAATGTTTTTGACTTTGTGAAGCATTTTGTTTTGTATTGATGTGTGGCAAAATGTCTTGGTTAAATGCATCACAGTTTCATGTGCAGTTAAACTGCATCTTATTTTGTGCACAGCGGTATGTTTATTTAAGTCACCCAGACTTCATGAAACACATGACATTCATAATACATGCATTTCCATTTCCATACTGTAAAGTATTAAACCTGCTATAGACATACAACATTTTACAGTCCAGATCATTTGGAAGTTTCATTCACAAATATTGCTCAGCCATCTTAATCCACCATGTAATTTCTGGATATTTTGTAGATTAAGTATGAAACAAACCCTTGATTACCATGATTTAATTGTTTATTTTTTATTCAAACAGAAGCTTGTACAAAGTGTTAACCATTCGTCCAGAGGTGCAAAATATAATTAATATTATATACAAAAATACATTAAATATTTGGAAAAAATAAATATATATATATATAATTTGCTCAATTTTGACGGTGAATGTCCTATTATATGCTTTTATTTTTGATCGAAAGCTATGGTCCTAAAAGCATCCCCCTACCAGTGTCTGATGTGATTTCTGATTTCTCCTGCAGGTGGCAGAGATCCTGGGCGTTGCTCCAATGAGGGTTTATGAAGTAGCCACTTTCTACACCATGTTCCTCCGTCAGCCGGTGGGAAAGTACCACGTCCAGATCTGCACCACTACGCCCTGCACGCTCTGCGACTCCGACAGCATCCTGGAGGCCATCCAGAACAAACTGGGTGAGCGAGAACCGTTTCCAGCTCTCCACAGGGACTCCACACAGACATCTCGACTCGCACGTCACCAATAAACACACTCGCTATATAAACAAGCTAAAGCCAGGCTGCTAAAAAATGGCCTGAAATGTGAATATTTGAAGATGCTGGGATAATACACTTAGGGATTGTATTAATCTTATTTTGAGAACTAATTTTAGAAGTAGAAACAAAATCAGAAGCTATTAAGATTGAAAGGCAGTGTTATCATTTACTCACCCTCATGTTATTCCAAGTCATGACTTATTACTTGTCAAAGTTTTTTTTTTTTTTTTTTTCATAGCAAAATATTCTTTCAATTATCTGCTTTAGTGTTCCATATAGTGTTATTTTAGTATCATTGATATACTATTATAATTAATATTTGTTTCTTCAAACTCGAAATTATGAAAATGAGAAATGATGTCTTGTCAACTAGTTGAAATAATATAAAATTTGATGTAATAAAAATATAAAATAATTATATAATTATATATACATGATAATATAAAAGTTTTTTTTATTTATT